CCGTGTCCTGCTCTGATGTCCCTGTGTCCTCTGCCTTCCAGGTGCACCCCTGTTCCTCTCCCAGCCTCACTTCCTCAACGCCGACCCCGTCCTGGCAGAAGCGGTGGCCGGGCTGCACCCTGACCCGGAGGAGCACTCCCTGTTCCTGGACGTCCACCCGGTGAGCCCTGCCCGCCACGCGCTGGGGCGGGTGGTTTCTCGGGAGTGGCCCCAGTGCAGGGCTGACCCATCGCTGGGGGCTGGCGGCCTGGTGGCCTGGCGTTCTTTGGCAGTGGCACTTGGAGAATGTCGAGCCACCAAAGGTCCCTACTTTACCCCGGCTCCATAGGTCAGGGATATTATTGCCCTTTTATAAGGGTCTATAAAGGGCCCGGGGATCGTAAATTAATTAGGACTTATCAGCCTGTGCTTCTTCTGCAAGTCCCTAGGTGGCCGGGCTGTGCCATAAAGATCTCCAGACACCGGCCGGGGACAGGCTCATCTGCAGATAAATCAGACTCAGGGACTCGTCCCATGTGGGGACCAGGAGGGATCCGTGCCCTCCCAAGGACAGGCCTGTGGCTCCCGGGCGTCTCTGTCCCCTGCAATGTACCCAGCTAGTCTCGGAGGCCCCCGCTGCCCATTGGAAGATTCTGTGGGTTTCTGCTCCTGGAGTGGACACTCAGGTTCTCTCCCAAAGACTTTTTTTTTAAAAAGTGATTTTTTAAGTTGAGACATAAAAGTCACAGGAGGCCAGGGCGTCCATGTCACCGTGTGCACACACGGGGCAGAGTGGCTGGGCCTCGCGCTCACTCCTGCTGAGGGCACGCGGGGTCCCCCTTCGTAGCGGTTTTCAAGTACCCAGCTCACCGACTCTGGCTCAGTCACCACGTCACACGGCCTGTGACGATGGCCCAATGACTCCTCCTGTCTGAAAGTCTGTCCCCAGGCCTGGCCCCGGCCCCGGGACACCACCTGGCTCTCTTCTGAGTTCCAAGTTCTCGGGTTTTGCACATACTGAGGCCGCACACTGTGGGTCTGTGCCTGGCCCAGTCACTTGGCAGGTCACCCTCAGTCACCCGTGTGGTCCCAGGTGATGGGAGTCCCTCCTGTAAGGC